ACTCTCAAGCAGAAGTTGTGCAATGCACCCATCCTATCTCTACCTGAGGGTTCAGAAAACTTCGTAGTCTTTTGTGATGCTTCGCATCAAGTGTTAGGTTGTGTATTGATGCAGAAGGATAAAGTCATTGTCTATGCCTCGAGACAACTAAAAGTGCATGAAAGGAATTATACTACGCACGACCTTGAGTTGGGAGTAGTAGTATTTGCACTTAAGATATGGAGGCACTATCTCTATGGCACAAAATGCACCATCTACACTGATCATAAAAGCCTTCAACACATCCTCGATCAGAAAATGTTGAATATGAGGCAAAGAAGATGGGTTGAATTGCTTAGCGATTACGATTGTGAGATCAAATATCATCCAGGCAAAGCCAATGTTGTGGCCGATGCTTTAAGCTGAAAGGAAAGAATAAAACCGTTAAGGGTAAGAGCTTTGGGAGCCTTAGTGAAAGCCAGTTTGAAAGCCCAAATACTGGAGGATCAAAAAGAATCTCTAAGGAAGGAGAACTTGAAGAATGAAATTTTGCATGSCATAGAGTCCAAATTTCAGATGAAGTCTGATGGAGCGTATTATTTAGGAAACAGAGTTTGGATACCTAAGATTGGCAATCTTAGGCCAATTATTTTGGACGAAGCTCATCGATCAAAATATTCGATTCATCCAGGAGCAGACAAAATGTCTAAGGATTTAAGAGCATACTACAGATGGCCGGGAATGAAGAAAGACATTGCACTATATATAAGTAAGTGTTTAACTTGTGCAATAGTTAAGGCCGAACACCAGAAACCTTCAGGTCTGCTCCAGCAGCCCGAAATTCCTCAATGGAAATGGGAGCAGATATCGATGGACTTCATAACTAAGTTACCCCGATCTGGAAAAGAGCATGATGCCATTTGGGTGATTGTAGATCGATTAACAAAATCTGCTCATTTCTTGTCAATCCGAGAAGACTATAAGATGGAAAAGTTAGCTCACATATATATAAATGAAATCGTCGCTATGCATGGGGTGCCTACTTCCATTCTATCAGATAGAGACAGCCGTTTTACGTCAAGGTTCTGGCAATCGCTTCAACAAGGTATGGGTACTCGTCTGGATCTTAGCACTTCTTATCATCCCCAGACAGATGGACAAACCGAAAGAACAATCCAAACCCTGGAAGACATGTTACGAGCCTGTGTTATAGATTTTGGTGGAAGTTGGGACACACATCTTCCATTAGTGGAATTTGCCTACAATAACAGCTACCATACCAGCATCCAATGTGCGCCTTATGAAGCTTTGTATGGGCGCAAGTGTAGATCTCCATTGTGTTGGTCAGAAATTGGTGATAAGCAGTTAACTGGACCGGACGTTATTCAAGAGACCACTGATAAGATTGTAGTAATCAGAAATCGACTCAAGGCTGCAAGGGATCGTCTAGAAAAGCAATGCTGACAATCAGAGGAGACCATTAGAATTCCAGAAAGGCAATAAAGTTTTCTTAAAGGTTTCACCATAGAAAGGAGTGATGCGTTTTGGAAAGAGAGGCAAGCTGGGCCCTCGTTATATTGATCCTTTCGAAATAGCAAAAAGGATTGGACCAGTGGCATATAAGCTAAATTTGCCCCCGGAGTTAAGCACTATTCATGATACATTCCATGTATCAAATCTCAAAAGATGCCTAACAAATGAAACTCAAGTAATGCCGCTAGAAGACGTGCAGGTTATTGATCAACTGCATTTCGTTGAGAAACCCATAGAGATCATGGACAGAGAAGTTAAGCAGTTGAGACGTAGCAGGATTCCCATAGTAAAAGTCCATTGGGACTCCAAGCATGGACCGGAGTACACATGGGAAAGGGAAGATTTCATGAAAAACAAGTATCCCCACCTGTTCTAAAGGCCAGCCATGACTTTAAAATTGACAATTAAATTTCGGGATGAAATTTTTCTGGCTTGGGGAGACTGTGACAACTCTGCATTTTGGAATTTCAGGTTAGTATTCCATTTTAGGGCCTTTATTGAAAACTAAGTCTTTTTAGTATTTAACCTTGTTGACCAGAGATCGTCCTGTTTAATTAGTCTGATTAGACCACATTTCGGCGGGTAGCTAACCAAGTTAGTTTGTGCAATGGCAAATAAAATTTTTAAACATTTCACATAAAAATAAAGTCGACATTTTCGTTTCATTTTTTTTTTAAATTCAAAATTCCAAAGTTCCAATCTTTTATATTTGGTTGCCAATTATTAACTTGGAAGAAGGGTGTTTAAATCTTTTGTCAAAAATGTTTTCTTGTATTTATTGGGGTCTTTTAGTTGTAATTAAAAAGTCTTTTTGGGCTTGGGCCTTTAGAGGTCAGCCCATTCTTTTCATTGAATCCACATATAAATACCCCCATCCCTTTTGAAAGATCTTCACTTTCCAAATTTCCAGCCATTTCATCTCTCTCTCTCTCTAATTCCATCACTTGTCAACCGATTCCATCTCCTTGCAAAACTCAAGGACTTTTG